TTTTTTTTTTTTTTTTTTTTTTTTTTTTTTAATACAGGTAGACTTATTTTTTTTCTTCCTCCAGGCAATGTAAAGATAGTAAATTGCATTTATTCTTAGAATTGCAAATGGAGCTATGCACAACTTAGTTCTGTATCTTCCATTAAATCAACTTTAATTCTGTAACTGAAATAGTAATTTTTTTTTTCCCCAATCAGAGGTGCTACAAATGTCTTTTAAAATACATGCCTCYCTTTAATGGGTATCGCAACATCAAAACCTGCAAAACTGATTTCTTCAGGGGAGTTTTAAATAGAAAATTAGCATCTGGCCAATAACCTGATGCATAGTTGGGGCATGGTGCAAATTAAAAGAGACACCCTTAAACTGCTCATGGACAGTGTCTGTAATAGAAAGCTGACAGATCCCTGATTAGATCAGTGCTAGCAGGCACCCTCGTAACAGGCTGCTGTTTAACTCAGCTCTCCTGCAAAGGCTCTGTGTGAAATGTAAATTAAATGTAATTCTGGCAACTTTGATTCAATCCAGAAAGGCAAAGACGCTTCCAAGCAAGTTTGAGAAGCAGCAAGAAATAGGATAAGGATTCTGAGAGACATCCACAGCTAAGCTCAGGGATGACCAAGGGAAAAAAAGCACAATATGCAGCAGTCGCTTATATTCATGAAAACAGGTCTTTAAAAGAAAATGAACTCGCTGCTCAAGGAAAGATTTTTAAACCTGCTAAAAACACTGTAACAAGAAGYTTAATACTGTAAAGGGAACTTTCTAATTCAATGTATTTCAAACATCTTTTACTGAAATCTCTGTCTTCCTAAATGAAACAGCTTTGTGGCTTTGAAATGGAAATGGTTATCGTTTGTTTATAAAAAGAAATTGAGTTGGTACCTGGCAAATCTTGCAAGGCTTGTGTTGGAAATTCAAGCAGGTCTCTTTTTCCTCTGCATTGATTCCTTTGCATTGCCTTGGCCACAACATGGTTAAACGACCTGTCYGCCTTTCTAGTATTCTGGGTTTGCATAGCACTGAGCATCTCTGAAGGAGAAATGTACAGAGGCAAACAACTATAAATAGTTTTCAAGTGAAATGCAGCCCTTATTTTTGTCTGTCCACAAGGAAGGGCTCAGAATTCATCTTATTTTGATTGGCAGCCCCCACAATCCAAACCATGGTAATAAGGACAGCAGTGACCCTCCTCTGGCCTTAGGCAACACTCCATCTCTGGCCACTCTTTGCATCACTCACATTTTTAATTGGGGCCAAAGCATTCCCTGATCTATCCAGCTAATCTAATTCTACAAGAATAACTTATTTGTGTAGTGTAAATTCTATTTGTGGAACCTGCATTTTTTTTCTTTACAATTTAGTGATTATTTACTTAATGATGTTTTATTCAGTAACTAATGATGTTCAGTAACTACTGATGACTGTTGTTCTAAACACACATACAAAGCCAAAATAGCTGTACCAAATGCCATTTACTTGAGACTGAATGTGTGTATATATATATATGTGCATAATATATACATTCTCCTATCAAAAGATGCATTGAAAATATATTTCCAGGGTATTAGATTCCRTAACATCAAGAGTTGCTAGCATTTTGAAGAGCACAAGGATATTTATAGATGTATTTTCAGCTCACAGTTTGCCAACTCTGTCATAAAACAATCTTTAACAACAGCAATTCTGTTTTATAATAGTTTTTCATAACTGGTATTTGGAAAGAAAAGATAAAGGAACACAGTAAATGCAAAACATTGTGAAGAGGCTTAGCCTGTATTTTACACCCTCACCATCAAAATGGCTTCAAGCTCAATTTGAGTAAAAGGAGGGAGGCAAAATATTTCCAAACAATGAATTCTACAGCACGGAAGCATAATGAGTAAAAATGTGACCACCTAGTGCTTAATATCTGACTTGCAAGAGGTAAGATAATCCATGTATTTGTCCCAAGGCATAATTAAAAAAAAAAAAAAAAGACCAATGAGAAATTGGGTTTGCTTGGGAGAGGGCCCAGACAGTTAGAAGAACTGTTGGAAGTGTCACTAATGGTGCAAGAGTCCATAAGAGTGCTCCTCTAACCAGTCTGAGTTGCTATTTGTATATCGGAGTAACGTCTGGAGCAGTAATTTCAGCGATGAAGCTGGATTTTTTTCAGAAGCCCTATGGAATCATTACATGACTTCAAATATACCCCAGCACTTGCATGAGCTGTATGGGACCTAAGGTTAAATCGCTGCCTATTTCTCAAATGCAGAGGGCTTAATGAGCCTGTGAGACAGCCAGACTAAGGCAGAGCAGCATTGCCCACGCAGGGAATCCTGAATGGACAGAAATAGTTTGGAGAAGCTAAGCCAAGGGATAGAAATGTTCAGGGAGAGATGGTTGGAGGGAAAGATCGGTCATTTTTAAGGAGGTAGCTACTGCGCAGCTAAAAATTCTTCTTCTCCCAGCACAGCTGGGCTATGACAGGGATTGGGGCCACAGCTGCCCTCTCGTAAAAAATTCATCCTGGTTTCCTTAGCCCTCTGCAGGATTTGATTGCTGAAGGAAGAGCAGAACAAGCAGGGGATCCATGAAAACGCCGGCACAGACAGACATTGCAAGTGGCTAGGTGGTTGCACTCAAAGAATCACCAACAGATGTGGAAGTGACTTTTAACTTGTCCAGTGCAAAAAAAAAGCTGTGCAAACATGGCACTCAGCTTGGCACACCCATCCAAAATCTGACCGCCCATTTTTCATGTTAACAGAAAATAATAAAATTAATCTGATATAAAAGAAATCAAGCAAATGGAGCTTTGCAACCTTGTAGGAACATAATGGCAATATAGATACTGAACATGGATTTGTTTACAGGCCTACCCGTGACAGTGAGGATGAAGAAGATGACGAGAAAAAGGGAAGAGGCTGCACTCTTCAGTATCAGCATGCCATGGTGCGAGTCCTCACACAGTTTGTAGCTGAATCCTCTGATTTTGGAGGCCACTTGACCTATATGCTAGGTTCTGAGTGGCAGTTTGACATCACTGACCTTGTGGCTGATTTCATGAAGGTAGAAGAACCCAAAATTGCTAAGCTTCAAGACGGCCAAGTTCTGGTTGGTCGTGAGCATGGCATCACCACGGTCCAGGTACGGCCTAGAATATTTCTATAGATTCAGCAGAGCTCTGCAAGCTCATACAAATAATAGTCACTTGCTATATAAAAATCCAATTATTTCCAGAAAAAGAACTGCTGAAAAAAAAATGATATGCTAAACACTAAAGAAGGTTGAAGAGCTTTACATWTTTGCTATTTGTCATTTCCATATAATAAATGCCTTTAGGTAAAGTCACATGTAAATATGACTAGGAACACTATGACTGTGGGGTTTTCTGAACAGTGAAACAGGTTGCATGACCCACACAGGCAGCTTATTTTGAGTTAAGTGGAAACTTAAAAATCTAATCTGTTGGAAAATTTTATTAAGGATCTACATGCCTCTTTACATGCCTAAGTGTCTTTGAAAAAAAAAGCCTCTATGCATTCACTACCCATTTATCTATTTTTAGGCATATTTTGTAATTAAAGAGAAGGTATGAGAAGGTTGTAGCTCCCCTGATAAAGTTAGAGATCTCTAATTTGTTAGCCACTCTTTAATTTCCTTTGCAGTTAACACACAAAAAAAAACAAAACAAAAAACAAAAAACCAGGCAATTCTAGGGCTCAACTCTAATGCTAAAGCATCTCAGAGAGGTGAAGGGAGTTTGGCTTCAAAAATTTCTCTATAAAGCAGCAGAAATCAGCTAGCTCAGATGCAGTGACCTACTCTTTAGAGGGCTGATGCTGGGTTAGATGAATAACACCTCCAATATTTTGGGCTTCATCCATGTCTCTGAAATAGTARGAAAAATGACTCCTTTGGAGGGCACTGGAAACTAGATCTTAGGGCAGACTGGCAGGACTACTTTGGCATGGAAAGATGCAGACAGGGACCCCGTGGGACTTTCAAAACCATTTTGTAAATGCCACTGAAAGGGCTAGGCCAAGTTCCTATCAGGCAAGTTTTGTACAATTCTTATTTCTTTCCTTAATGAGCTTCAGCATTAATCAGTGCCTTACACTCCAGCCTTCCATTGTATTGCATTGAGAGGAGATTTAATAGAACATACAAATAGAACATACAAAAATGTCGTTTTGGGGAGAAAAAAATRATCAGGAATGTCATGCTGACTAAAGTCTTATCTTGCCTTATAGCACCAAATCAGCTGCTGTTTCAGACAAAACATTTGTTTTCTCTCTACAGGTTCTGTCCCCTCTTTCTGATTCCATCTTGGCTGAGAAGACAGTGATAGTCCTCGATGACCGTGTAACTATTACGGATCTAGGAGTCCAGCTAGTTTCAGGCTTGTCYGTCTCTTTGCAAACTAGCAAAGGAAACAAGAGAGCTATCGTTTCTACCACTTCGGCTTATGATATCCTTCATACTCCAAAACAGGTATAATACAAACTATTTAGAATCTGTTTATGAGAGTCCAGGACAAAGCTATCTAGTGAAAAAAATGTAAACAGCACATATAATATATGACTGCATGAGAAGCTGTAACTTCATATAGCAAAGACTGTTCATCTTCATGACCAACTCCTACAGGTGCAAACACCCATACAAAATGACCATTAAACTCTCCACAACTAATGTGGAGAACAGCACATCACAGGGAAAGTGATGTGCCTATCTGTGCATGGAAAATGCTGCAGAAAACATGCATGTGCCTCTTAAGATACTTTTTCTCTAGAAAAATACGGTGTGGCTACTTAAGCAGAGGTATAAATCCTATATTTTAATACTTTCAGAGAGCCATCTCTGCCAGAAGAACCCTTTAGTTACAGCTGTAGAATTTTTCATGATGGGCATGGCTGAAATCTTTTGATGGTTTTGTGCTTACTGTGATTTCGGACCATATAATCTGAGGAATTAAATAGCTTCAGCTACACATTTTTTTTCCCCCATTTTATTTACTATAGAACTGAGACTCTGTCACTAGAAAAGCTGCAACTAACTTTTTAGCACTCAAAACTTTCTCTAAGAGAAGAAATTAGTTTTGTCAAGCCATCATTAAAATTTGGCAGTCTTGTATGTGTTTCTGTATTTTCCTGAACAAACTACAATCACTTTTTGTGTGCCTCATATATTATGTATTTGAAAGCATGACAGGAAAAAGAATAAAATACTGCATTCAAATATTTTCTTTTTTGTGTCAATGGGCTGAACAGCAGCACCATTCTGACCCATAATAACTCTGCATATTCATTATATATGCACCATTAAAACTGCAGAATTACAGAGATTCCCCATTATAGGGAAACATTTTGTCTTCTACAAAATTAATGAACAGGACTTTGGGAATATAATTATTTACATTATATGGACCTGGCATTTCCAAAGGGGGAAAAAAAAAAAAAAAAAAAAAAAAAAGAATTCTTACTTCAGCCTTAAAAAAGGAACTTCAAATGTCAGTACCTTTTATCAAATGTAGGTGACAATTTCTTTGATGGTTCCTGAAGAGGAGGTAAGTGCTCTAGAGATACAAACTTAAAAGCAGTAAATAAGCAAAGCAAAAGTTTTGATTTCTTTTGAAAAGCAAAATAAACCAAAGTTATAGTATATATTTATTTTACCAATGATGTCAAACACACTTAAAGGACTGCAAGTCTGCTGTGTGGTCTCTTACCTTTCATACTACTTTTTTTTCTCCCTCACTTTTCTTCCCCCAGGAAGCCATAGTCAGTGCTTGGGTTTTGTTCAGCGATGGAGCAGTGACACCTTTAGATATTTATGACTCGAAGGATTTCTCAATCACCATAACTTCACTGGATGAGATGGTAGTGTCTACGCACCAAAACCTTCAGTCAAAATGGCCTAGTGTGGTAGCAGAAGGGGATGGGCAAGGACCTCTGATTAAAATTGAAATGGTCATCAGCGAGCCATGTCAAAAGACCAAGAGAAAGAGCATCCTGGCGGTTGGAAAAGGAAATGTCAAAGTGAAGTTTGGTCAAAAAGATTCTGACCACAAAGGAAGTACCAATGATATTGATGAAGTGGATAGAGACTTTAAAAGCCATGCAAGCAATTCTATAGAGAAGCCTGCAGAACAAGAGAGGACAATACAAGAATGGTCTAAAAATGGAGCACTTGGTGCTTATGAGGACAATGTAAACAAAAGCACAACTGACAAATCTCCTGTTGAGCAGGAGTCACTGGAGGATGACCAGCTCCAAAATAATCCAACTGCCTTCACAGGTTTCCCAACACAAGTAGAACTACCAGAGCAAAACAATCCCAGTGATCTTACATTGACTTCAAGAGGATTAACAGATTTGGAGATTGGCATGTATGCCCTGCTCTGTGTCTTCTGCTTAGCAATCTTGGTCTTTTTGATTAACTGTGTGGCTTTTGCTTGGAAGTACAGGCATAAAAGGTTTGCAGTGAGTGAGCAAGGCAACATCCCCCATTCCCATGACTGGGTCTGGCTTGGAAATGAGGTGGAGCTGCTGGAAAACCCAGTTGACATTTCGCTCCCCTCAGAGGAGTGCACAACCATGATTGACAGAGGAATGCAGTTTGAAGAAAGCAACTTTCTTCTTAATGGAAGTTCTCAGAAGACTCTTCACAATCATATTCTCAGATCTTCTGAGTACGTTTGTGAAAAGGAAGTTAAAAGTGAACCTATAAATTCTGGGCCAAAGCAGAAGCGTGTAAAGTTCACTTCATATACAACAATACTGCCAGAGGATGGAGGTCCCTATACCAACTCAATTTTATTTGACAGTGACGATAATATTAAATGGGTATGCCAAGATATGAATCTTGGTGACTCCAAGGAACTTAGGGACTATATGGAAAGACTGCAAGACAATATGTAAAACTACTTTCTTATGTTTGTAATCACCTTTATGCCTTCTGTTTACGGATGGTGGAACGGTCAGTCCAGTCAGCAATAGGAACAAGGAAGTCCACCTTCGAATTACTGAGATAACCTGATATCGCTGAGCAGGTACAAGAGGCTGGCTGAGTTCAACTTGTTTCACCATAAACCAGGATGTGCCCCTAAAACAGCTACCTGTACGTGTTGGAGRTGTCGCACGATGGCTGTTTTTGTATACTGCCTGGTACTGGCAAAATGCTAATACAGCTACGCTCAGACTCAGAGGACACTTCATTTGTTTATCTCTCATGACAAATGGTAAATAAGAGAGGGATCTTTGCATTGATTTTTCTAGTCGTCGTCCTTTGTAAAGCACAGTGGACATTTCTTGCTTACAGCCTGAAACACGGCTTACGTTAAAAGGGATCTGAATGAATCTAATTTTATTGCTTATGCGCAATACAGCCAAGTAGTCTTACTATTTTTTTACACATATAAAAGTCCCCGTGTGGTTCTTCATATTGTCTATGAATTTTATTTGACTTCTGGAACACTAGCTATTTTCTTTGAAGATTTTTTTTTTTGGTTGTACCAAAGTGTAGTACAGTAATATTTATAATGATTCAAGTTTTCTATTCATGAACATCAGCCCACAGAGATACCTCCCTCATCTCTTACTATCTTTCTCCTTTCCATATGGGTCTTTAATATTTGAAACATAGAAACATATTAGAAGTCTAACTGAAAAAAGGGTTGTCTCCTTTTATAGGGAACTGTAAATACAATAATAAACTCTGGAAGATAAAAAWCAAGGCGTAGCCTTGGGTTTACTTTTGTCATTGGTGATCTGAAAAGGTAACCTGCAAGAAAACAGCATGTATTTCGGAGAAAAATGCTTTTGCTGAAACAGCAACTTGATTGGTGAAAGTTATTAGACCGAGAAATTCAAATGTGTTATTGAAATGCAGAGAATAGGAAGGAAATTTCCTGTAAAAGACCTGGAATCGGTATTACCCCGTACTAATAAAATAATGCATCGATGGAGTACAACAGAAGTCCATATGTAAGGGCTAGCACCCCAGATCTTGGCTAAAACATCCCTGACCATAAGGCTACTTGCTGAAATGATCTTTATGTTGTATTTCATTAAAAAGGAAGAAAAGACAACACACTGGACACGTTAATAAGTGACTATTCCCAAATTTAACAAAAACAACATTATGCTGGAGATTCAAAGCTGCTATTTCRTGTACATTGTATGTATTGTCACATTGAATGATGACTGAAATATGTTGAAAATTCCAGTTAGAAAAAAAGTGAATCTACAAAACTCTTAACAAAACTGATATTGTACATATTCTTGGGGTGGATCCTGTGAAATAAACACACGATCCAAACTACAACTGCCTTACATATCCTGCTTACCAACTTTAAGGTGGATCAAAATCAGATTTGAATTTTACAACCCAGTTTTGATTTTAGAACAGGCCAGACAGCCAATACCGTGGGAAATTTGAATCCTGATTCAAAACTGGGAACACCTTTAGTATAATTACTAGGTTATAATTTTGATGGTGACACTACAAAGGGCAATGAGAATGTCAGGCATACACGAGTGATTAGAGACTTACGTTTGCTGCCACTGAACTGCATAATAAAAGATGGCATATACTGTAATCCAGTCTTAAGTAGGTCAAATAACTGACCAAAAAGATGCTTCCATTTGAAAAGGGACATACTGTTTGCAGCTCAAATGAAATCTCAGGATGTTTAACAAACATTCTCACCTTTTCTTCATAAGGAAATAATAATTTCATACTACAATCCTGAGTATTAAACCTGAGCAGAAAAAGCCTCGTTTAAAATTTGGCATCTCTTCCCCCTGCGCTAGTTTGTATTTGGCCCAAGCCTAAACCAAGTGGATTGCTTGCACTGCTAGTGGTGAACCTGAGCTAGTTCCATGCACTCTGCAGCAGAAATGTAAATGTAAATAGGGTCCTCGTGAAGTTCTAGCTCAGCACAGCACCTATTAAGTACAGGCAAATTAAAGGTCTTACCTGGCGCAGTGGTTGACCAGGGATGGTTACGAGCCATGTTGGCACTCACAGGCCTCGTACAGGAGCTCAGCCCTAAATTAAAACACAGGCAGTTAGAAGACTACGGCGTATGGCCACTACTGGTGTATCATTTAAAAAAAAAAAAAAGAAAAATTATACAATCTTCCACAAAAAAATACTCACTTTCCCTTCCAAATCTGGCAATGGGGGAAAAAAAGAAATCTGCAACTGCAGGATCCTAAAACACTTGTAAGATCACATGTTTTTACATGCAAGTTTTCACACAGAAAAATGGCAATACGCGAAACAAAGATTAGAAGTAAGAGAGAGTTCTTTTTCTCAGCAATGCTGGGATAATGCCATTAAAATAAGTGGAGTTATTCTGGATTTATGCTGGTTAAAGAGCTTATGCTGCGTCTCATAAAATCAGATGGAGAAGAATTTAGATGACTATATTTGCAAAATAATAGTACTGAGTTGATGTATGACTATAAAAAGATTGAAATGCAGTCAACTTAAATCCCAATTTTTAGTTTTGAAATTATGGCATACTTTAACTGTAAGTATAATGAATTAAAATTATTGAAAACAAAATAGCAAAATTTCTGATTCACCTGWTTTTTTTTTTTTCTTTTTCTGGTTCAAAGAACTTTTTTAAAGGTCTTTTTTTCACCCAGTTGTCATATTCAATATTTTGCTATGCTGTTAAATGATCATCAYTTGTATCTTAATTAAAGAACCTCTGCTTCTGAGATTACAAAGCAAAAGAAGCAAGGGGATTAACAGGCAAAATATTTATGTCAGCAAGAAATTAGAATYGACTAAAAAGAAAATAAAAACTATACTGATGGATTAATTAGAATTAATGCTTCAGTAGCTGCCCAGGGAAGCAACCTGTAATTTAATGCTGCATAAACTGTACATTTTATTTATGGTACATACACAAAGACAGTGTGGACAAGTTTCTCTTCGTGCTGCTGAGGAAAGAGAATAGGTAGTATCAATACATATAGCAGGAGATATGCAGGAAAAAATGTATATGCAGAGTGGGTTAATGGCATACAGGGAGCGTGTGAGCTTCATAAATAAAGTTGATGCCAGACCCTCAGCTCTCGAAAATTAGAACGGAATGACTTCAGCCAGCTGAAGATCTGGCACACGGAGAATACAGAAGCCAGGGGTAGTTTTCATCTGTGCAGAACTTCTTCTTTCATTTGGACATTACATGGCCTCGTGCCACATGGCTTGTCTACGCCTTCATTCTCATTTAAATAAGAAGTTAAGAAACCAATGCCCCGCTCTCCTCTTGATGTGGAACCCACATAGATTAATGTTTTGAGCTGCTCTTTCTTAACTCATATTGGAGAATGTACAAGAAACTCTTACAGCCATATGACACAGTACAAACAGTCCATTAGATAATGGAAGATAGTTGTATTTCAAGGTAGCGTACCCTATGAATGAAATACCAGTTTTTCATAGAAGATATGCTCTTTTCTGAAATACTTGTGCACTACATTGAAATACACTTTAGTGTATTGTGAAATGCATACATTAATTGCTGAATCTATAACACTGWATATGTATATACATCACACCCCAAATATTTATACAATATAGTAAGTCTTAGATGTGTAACATAACGAATTCTGTACAAAATAAACTGTAAGTTAAGACAATGAAAGAGAACTTTTATATCTGTGTAATTTGTATGATAAGTTATTCAAGCCTCAGTTTTCATCTTTAAATGTGCCCTTTAAAAAAATGTTCATTTTCTATAGACAGATCTCTGAAATAAAGTCTTCACTCTTCAGAAAAGAAGCAATTGAAAGACTGTGAAAAAGACACAAACTCTGCTGGAGAAATAAATGTACTGTTGATGTGATTTTTTTAAAACTGACTCTGAACCACTTTGCATTTATCCTGATCAAGCTGTTCTGCTGGTGCGGTTGAGGGTGATGCATCGTGCAGGGGACCAGCAAAAGTTCAGTTACTGAGGGAATGAAACTGCATTGTCTTATTGGTAAAAGCAGCTTATTTAAGAAATTAAAGGAAAGTAAATGATGTTCTGAGATCTCTTTTACTTTCAAAGTATATGAATGTGTTACCTTCTTCAAAAAAACCACTAAGGATTTATAAACCAGTAGGAAGCAAGACTTGTATCTTCCGTTCAGCTACATCTTGGGTTAATCTATTTAAAAATCAATGGACTTTGACGGTATACAAACCACATTGGCAGAAGTTACAGAACGTTCTAAATAGGATGTAATTTTGGTCCCAACGGAACCAGAATAAGGTCAATAATATCAGGATTTCCTGGTATATGAGGTGCTGCTACGGCGTCCCATGGCAGTTTTCCCCTGGCCAAAATCTGACCCTGTCTAGTGGCAAGAGAGACACACGCACACATCATTACTTATGATATGAAAACTTTCTCCTGCATATTGTTGCATACTTTTTCCCTATGTTTATATGCTGGTGGCATTTATATATCCTATATTTTGAACATTTGCACATGTCATATAATGAGACTAGTAGTCTGCAGACGGAGTTTTTTGATTGTTTGTTTTAAATGAAGGCTCTTTGCAGCTTAAAATGTCAAAAAAGGCCATTAAAAATGTATTATGATCTTTTTTTAGAAAGGGATCCATACACTATGCATCAAACACTAAACAAGCCACCAGTCTGGGCACAAGTCTAATGTAGATTAATACCAGACTCTTCACAAGGAATGAAATTCATTCTTTAGGTGAAGTTTGTGGCCTATCTTTACTGTGATTCGCTCTCTCCACAGATAAAAACCTTCAAATGCAGAAATCTCATAATGAGAGCTTAACATCTCTGACACAATGTGGCATTATTGTCTATTATTCATTAACAAGTTATTAAAAATTTTAGAAACATTAACAGATTCTCTGTAAACTGATGTCATTTCCCATACTGCAAGCTATAAATCAACCTTTCATTTTAGGTAAAATACTCCTCCTTCCATGGAAAATTGATTTTGTTATGGTGCTTTATTTTATTTCCAATAAATAGCCTAACAGTGTGCTTTATTTTCACAATTTAATTCAATTCTGGAATGCAATATGTGGTCAGAGCCAAAACCTAGGCAAACTAAATGAAGCCACTTGGCTAGTGCATGGATATAATATACAGAAGGGAAATCTTTGTCTAATCATGGTTATTTGTTACTATTTCCCCTCGGTTTGTAGAAGCTGGGTATCCATTTTAATAACAGCCACAGGAAATAAAACAGACTTTTACTCTGCTACATATGCATAACAGGTGGCATAGACCATGTGTTCCACAGCATCATTATTAATATCTAGCTGACAGCACAAATTTGACCAATAAAAATGAAAATGTGGATTTTTTTTTTAAATTGCTTGTTAACTTCCAACAACCTGAGCTACAAAGACAGTCTCTAAGAGTGTCTCTTCCTAGAGTAGTTTAGCAAGGACTAGAGAGATTGCTACATAGCAGGGTATAAATAGCAAAATCCATAACTTTGTCCAAAGCCAATTGTAAAGATAAAGCCAGTTTTTAGCCACGGTCTGATAAAGACTGGTTGTCATTCAAAATGATAAATACTGGTTGTCATTCAACTCAGCAAATTCAGTTATTTTTCTAAAGTTATTTCCTAAAGTAAARCTATGGAGATAGTTACACTTGTCTAGGTGACTGGTTACATGATTATGAGAAATCAACATATAGAATTAGCTCCTTTGTCTGCCATATCAGTAAATATTGTGGATGGTGCCTATGCTGGCTGCAGGTTAGACTTGCCCCATTGCAAGACAGCATTATTCAAGGCTATTTCTGGCTTTGAACTGTCTCTAACAAATACTTCTAACAAGATAAATGCTTTAAAAGCACTAAACATGCACCACCAAAATATGCAATACAAAGGATTTCAGGCGTTTAGAGCTTGTGTCAGAAGCAGCTGAGTGCAGAACTGAAGGAATTTAATTTAATGCCCCACAGAAGCTGCATTCCTCTAGATAAGGTTTACTAGAAGCCATAGTTTCTAAGAGCATTCCCTAATTTCAAAAGAATTCAGCTTATTCCTTCTGTATCACCTTTCCTTCTATTCATACCGCCAGTGGAAAGCATATTGAGAAAAGGAAACTTGGCAGGATCCCTGCTCATTGGAGGGATGTAATGAACCATTTGGGGATTCTTGGTTACTTGTCAAACGGGAGGACACTCAGGTCTATCAGGCTRAGAAGGATGCAGCTGCACTACCTCCTGGACCTGAAATACAAGGGAGATGAGAACTTCTTTAGGGCATCCTGCTTGCATATTGGTGCAAAAGTAAAATAAACCACACCAGAGCAGCACAGGAAAAGGTTTTAAGCAGAGGAAAAGCTTTACAGTAAATGCAGAAGCCTAATGTGCCTGAGAGGATTTTGCACTTAAGTAACAAAGGATAAGCCCTTTTCTTAACAAGTTTATTATACAGCCAAGAGCTACTGTCTCATTCTTAAAACAACTGCTTCCACTTTAAAATAGGCTTCATTTAAATAAGGACCCTTGGCACGGAATTTTCAAAGGCAAACCATAATCAGAGCAAGGACTGTGCTGAATGTTCAGCTGTTATATTATTGTGCTACTTTTTCTCTTTTTTTYYCCCCTTTTTTGCTAAAGCTTACTTTGTAAGGCTTTTGGCCATTGCAACTCATGAGATGCAATGTATTTTTTAAAAGAAATGCTAGTGATTTGAGTCACAGCGCCTACCAGCATGTGAATAATGGAAGTATGCATCTGTCAGTATAATATGCTTCATAAATCAACTAGTTCCTCTGACTTGCCAGAAGCTGAGTGGCCCTACTAAGAGTCATACAAGTACCTGGCACTGTTTTGTGTTTTCATTTTCTGCCATTTTTAAAAATA